TTAAAACAGTGTTTGGAACAGGAGGAAATCTGAGGTTGTGCTTTGCAGGGATTTCTTTTAAATACTTTAACCTCATTAGGCTATTTGAAGCTTTGGACATGTTTAACATGAACATATAAGATTGCAACATTGTAGATTAATCATAAAATATGGAAATTAATTAATTTGTTAATTATATTTTGTATTATCAATCTGCAAAGTAATTAGTAACTACAGCTGTAAAATAAATGCAGAGCAGTAAAAAGTTCAATATTTCCCTCAGAACTATAGTGGAGAAGTGTAAAATAGTATAAAATGGAAATACTCAAGTAAAGTAAAAGCACCTCAACATTGTAAAGCACTTGAATAAATGTACTAAGTGATTGCCCAGCACTGACTGTTACAAATACTACAATAATTACAACTAGAACATTTCAACAAAAGTTGCAGGCTAAGGCCACATCTTCCATCTTACAATACCTACTCATTTTGGCATGACTAGTCCTTTCCAGCTGCAGCAGTCTACCCAGTGGTAGGAATGGAGGCTGGGTTTCTGTAATGACCGCCTCTGCATGCCCTCTCCAAAGTAGCCAGTTTCCTCTGGTCAGCCGCTCCATACCGGGTTCACAGCAACCAGCAGGAAGTTTACAGCCACCAGTCAACCCAAAGCGTGCTTGTCTTTGTTCAAGAGGCCAAACAGCCTTTGTTGAACTGCAACAAAGAACAAGCTCTAAAACAGTCTCAGGACTGCTTAGTGCCACCATAGGTCTGAGTACTGTGCAGAAAACAAAAGTCTCACAGACTACTTCTATACAGCTATGGCACGATGACAATAATCAGGCCACATTAAAAGCTATTGTTTGTGGAAATGATTTTTTTTTTCAAAATGTACCTGTCTTTATTTCTACTTTGTTTTCTGCTACAGGCCAGTGGCGAGGTCAAAACGCAGATGCATATCTGATTTGTGTTTTTCTTGGCTGACTGCAGGCTTATTAGCATGCTGTGTGGATCTCCTTGTAATTCCCCCTGTGGTGGAGGTCGACTATGTGTGTGTGCCCTGCCCCGCAAAAGCAATTCAGTTTGTGTACATTAGATGATGTTTGGGCTCAGTTATATATGCCAAAGCCACACATTTGGGACTGAATTAAGTCAGTTAATTTCAACAATGGCTTTATGTTTTGTTGACTCTGTGTGGAGTGTACATAGCAAATCAACCTCATTGAATTGTATGGTTCACTGTAATAGAAGCTGTCGCTCAACACAAATCTTCCCTTTTAACTATAGCTTGTGCTGTTCCTACAGTGTGGTTATTACAGAGCAGCTGCTGTTAAAAGAGGGAAATAATTGTGAAAAGGGCCATGAGAAAATGCTTAACTTGTGTTGGCTCAGCATATTTCTGTGCCGGTTTCTGCTGATGACTCTGTGTCTAGCCCCTGCAGCCTGTCTTTAACTCCACCATGCTATAGATGAATTGGCACTTTGATGTAGTGATGCATAAATGGCTATGGAAAACGCAGCATGCAGTGTTGGGCACTAACTCAACTTGAAAGCAAACCATGTGTTGTTTGTGTGCGAGTGTGTTTGTTGGACAGACATGGCGCATATAGGGAGGGATGTGAGTCACCCTATTTCATGTAGTAAACACTGAATCGACCCACGCAGAGCCTCCCATCTTTCATGTGTCCCTGCTGTAAGACGTTTTATATCACTCACTAAATCATCTGTCAGTCTCACAGGCCTTACAAACCATTTGGCAGTAAGTGAATTTGTTTTTGGAGGAGCACAGAGCTCCCATCAGAAAAGGAAACTATAAGTGTGCTCAACTCCACTGATAAGACTTGTTCGCTCACCTCCAGCACAACAAGATAAATCACTCAGGAGTTTGGTGCCTATTCAATATTTCAAGGTTGTGCGTGTTCTTTTAAATACAGGGAGACAAAGGTTCAAGAAAAGATCTACTCAACAAACAGTATTTATAAAAATGCTTTTAAAAAAGCAGCTTGAATTAAACCTTATTGTGCAAACCTCTTAACATGTTTCACCCGAGCAGTAGAGGGCGTGTTGCCACAACAGTACCGGCCTTGACCCGGAGTTCTACTGTGTGACATCAGCTCACTCTCTGCTAGACTGAATCAATACCACGAACAAAGAAGCTTCAGAACATCATCTCCCCCTGACCCTGGCTATGACAAACACACAAACAAACACATTTACACTCAAATTCCTTTGGTGACATATTGATCCGTCTCTCTCTGACAGAGTCCTTCAGATGTTGAATGTGTGACACCTTGGCAGGAAACTCACTGCTTTATAAAGGAGAATGGGGGGCGACCCAGATTGGTCTCATTTTAGAGCATCAGTCACACTCAAGCTTGTGGTTTATAGTTCGGGAGGTGACAGTATGTCTGCCACAGGAAGTGGTTTGTTGACTCTGTCCTAACAGCTTCATGCCTGATGCTAGGGAGGGAGAGTGTGATGTCTTAAACTGTCCACAAGATGACACTGTGGGACTCACAAAGTACCTCATTGTTGCTGATGGTACTTTTATCTGCCATTATTTAAATAAAATGTTGTTTTCCTCTACAATGACATGGGTTTCCAGCCAGAGAAAGCGGCTGCATTTACTATGAATTTATGAGTACATTCTGTTCACCGCATGCAGCAACCCCACATCCAATTTCTCAAGCTAATTCCAGCTTTTAAAAAATGGCTTCTCAGCAATTTAATATCTCACATCCATAAAGTTGGATGACACATGAGACAGATTTAAAAAAGGATGATCAGTATTGGTGCATTTAGTCCCTGGTACAGGTCAAGCTCCAAAAACCATGGATCCTACATTTCCCATAAATGTAACCAATAGCATTGTTTTTGTCATAGCCTCCTTGCCTGGTAAATGTCTGAAGCGTAGCCTCTCTTTCATAAATCTGATAAAAGAGAGCCCAGGCTGAGATTACCCTGATGACATCACAAGTCGTATTCATTTACACAGACTTGGCCATGCTCCTTGTGACAAATAAGTTGATCTTCATATGCAAAATTGGTGGAGTTCTCCTTTAAGAAGGTACCACATAGACACTGCCTCATTACATCAATCAGTCATTTCATGTTTGTGACAAGTAATATACCTACTAAATTTGTTGATGGTGTATAATAACAGTTAATTATGCAATGAAACTCAGAGGAATGAGTGGAAATAAAAAAGAGCTAAGGATATTACTATTTGTTGTTCTCGAGGTACTCAGTTGTATAATGGCAATATTTGACTGCCCATGGGGCTTAAAAAATGCAGACACAAGATGTTAACATTTTGACAACAACATTTTGACAAACACCACACACTGAGAAATATTTAATACGCTTAATAAAGCGTAGTTTATTCTGATTGCCAGAATAAACAGCCACCTTGTTGTAACCTGTAATAAGTCATCTGTGTTGATGACTTACTATCTTTAATGGCTGCTCATTATAATACATACTGATTAAAAGATTGTTGTGTTTGCATTTTACTTTTTACCCACATGTTTACCTTAAACCAAATTATTAATTAAATAATTCCTTTTCAGGCTCTACTTTAAAGATATCAGGATAACCTGATGTAGTTCAGTGCCTAATTTAAAATAAACTAATTTAGATTAAATTGTACTGTGGTAGTTTTCAACTGACCAATTTCAGACTTTGTGGTTTGGGTCCCAAAACCTGCTTCTCTTCTCTTTGAGGGGAGGCCAAAGTATTCTGGGAGCTCAGGATCAAACCTCTACTCTTCCCCCTCCTCATCAGTGAAAAACAGAACCAGCGCTCATGTACTCAGTATGAAGATGATGGACCCTCTTCAGCTGAATCCCCTGCATCAGCCAGGTCAAACTAGAGAGTTTTACTCTTTTTACTTCTTTGGCCAATCAGAGTTGCTCTTTCACTCAAGGGACCAATTAGAGAAGTATCAGTCCATTCAGTAAGAGTTATGTTACTGAAAGGGAAGTAAATCCAGGAGATGGCTTCTTTACACCAACATCACATCACTAACACACTCCGTGGCCAACCAGCTGTGGTCGGAATGTATCGGAGACCAGTGGACCAAATATAGTATCTCTGAGCAGCCTGAAGCTGCAGTGCTTTACAACCACTAGCCATTTTTCAAACAGCTTTGAGCCAAAGACAGCAGTCCTGCCACATTTTAGCCATTCACATGAGAGATGTCAGCCAATGGCGGTGGATCTGCTAATATTTTAAATAAAAAATGATCATTAGTATTTTTTTCTGCTCCAACTGAATTACAAAGAGAAAAACAGAAAATAGCTAAGTTTGTTTCAGTCAGCATTCCTCTACTTTCTAGTTTCATCACATGATTTACAAGACTGAAAATAATGAGTTAATGATTACTCATTTATGGTATAATATTCATCACAAAACTATCACTCATGCATAATATCACGATGCATATACTGTGCAACGCTGTAATGCACGTGTGGTAAAAATGCTCTAAAGTAAGAAGAAAAATCTAAATCAAATTAACATTTGGTGTGACCCCCTTTGCCTTAAAAGTAACATAAATTCTTCTAGGTACACTCGTACAAAGTCAGGGATTTGTAAGCATATCATCAAGTGTATGATTAAACAATTATACTAAACAGGTGCTAACGATCAACAATTCAATATTTAGGTTGAAACAGAATCTTTACCCGAAACAGAAACAGCTGTGTAGGAGGAATCCAACTGCGTGAGGAACAGCCAAACTCAGCTAACAAGGTGAGGCTGCAGAAGACAGTTTACTGTCAAAAGTCACACACCGTGACAAGACTGAGCACAGCAACAAGACACAAGGTGGTTATACTGCTTCAGCAAGGTCTCTCCCAGGCAGAAATTTCAAGCTAGACAGGGGTTTCCAGATACGCTGTTGAAGCTCGTAGATGCAGTGGTCAGCCAAAGAAACTCACTTCAGCAAATAAAAGACTACTCATGCTTACTTCCCTTCATGATCGGATTATGTCCAGCAGTCCAATCAGCTCAGTCACACCTCCGACATGGAAACAAGGCCAAGTGACTCAAGTATGCACGGAAACACCGGAACTGGGGTGCAGAAAAATGGCAGCAGGTGCTCTGGACTGAAACTGAAAATTTGAAATATTTGGATGCAGCGTAAGGGAGTTTGTTCGCCGGCGGGCTGGAGAGCGGTACAATAGTGAGGGTCTGCAGGTAACAGTGAAGCAGTTTAGGCGCCACATTTCAGCAAACGAAGTTGGGGGTTGGACGAAATGAATGGTCTCCTCAGTGCTGAGAAGTACAGGCAGATACTTCTTCATCATGCCAAAACCATCTGGGAGGCATCTGATTGGCCCAAATGTTTTCTACAGCATGACTGGGATTACATGAAGAGAGAGGAAAAGCAACTGAGGCTGCCTAAATCCACAGAACTGTGGGTAGATCTCCAATTTGTTTGGGCCAACCTACCTGCTGCTGCTTTGAAAACTATGTTCACTTGAACCTAGAAGAATTGATGCTGTTTTGAAGGCAAAGGGTGGTCACACCAAATATAGATTTGATTTAGATTTTTCTTTTGTTCACTCAATTTGCATTTTGTTAACTGATAAATATAATCTATTAACATGTCTATTTTTGAAAGAATTCTTTCTTTACAGCATTTTTCCAAACCTGCCTAAGTCTCTAGAACAGCATTGATTATTATATGGGTAGGGAGAAATTCAATTTGTGAGGTCAAATCAAACCACATACAATTGACATATGGATGTCAAATGTCTGTGACTTCATAAATATTTATGAAGCAGGTTGTGCATTCAGAAATGTGTCAGGAAATTTCGATTTACATATGGCGGTTACACAGGAATTTATTTATAGACACAGTGATATTGATTTTCACAAAATGTGCCTGATCCCCCTTTGCATTTGTATGACTTCTAATGTGGTGCATGTGTTTGTATTGTTGCATGCAAAAATAATTTAGCCTTGAGACGCAGCCTCACACAAAGGATTTTGTTAAAGAAGAAGCTTGCGCACTGGTAGTTGTAAATTCAGTCCACATCATTTGAAGTGCAAGTGCTATTATCCAAGGTCCACAACCTTCTGTGTCCATGAATTTATATAACATTCAGAACTAATAAATCAATAGCTTGGCTACAACCTATTTGACTTACATTTTATATGTAAGAGTAATACTATCACAACTGGTATAGTAAAGCAAGGATAGATTGTCTGATGTCCTCTTAAAAATTCTCAATACTCCTTTTGTAGGTTGCCAAAGTAACACTCTCCCCCTCCCTCCACTACTCCTTTAAGGCAACTTCAGAGCATCAATATTTAACTTGACATTGTCAAATCTAAAAAAAGAAATGGTGCTGAAAGGAAGGTAGAGCTTTGAAGCATGTTTGCCTGTAGACCCGTGCTGCACACATGACTGATTTCCTCTCTGACTTTGATGACAACACAGACACACAGTGGGGACTGCAGGGTCATGACACACACACACACACACACACACACACAACGGTCATTGCTGTGCTCTTACAACCAGTGCATCGATTCACCACAGGTTTCGTGGTGAGATTGCTCTCTCGTGGTACTTGCTGTTGAAAGGTGTGTGGTGGTGTGTAAGTCCATCAGCAACTTACAGTTTGGGGGAAACCACAGTGTTGCAGGGGACCTCTTCATCTCAATTATGGCATCCACTTGCTCTGTGCCACCTCTCATTGGTTGGTCCCATTACATTCTTGAATGCATGCAGTGATCATGCTGTGCTGACTATTACCCACAAAGCCCATCAACAACAAGTTCTTTGTGAACTACATGTTTCTTGTCTGTTTCACCATCCCCTTGACCATTACATCCTTCTGTTCTCTACTCTGCACAGTCTAAGAGGGAGCAACCGGCCAACAGGAGTCCAACGCCCAACAAGTCCTCCAAATTAAACGACAAAATACATTGTTTGTCCATGCGCTCCCGAACAGCACATATGCATTTTCTGATTAGCAGGACACCATAATTGAATTGAATGCCTTTTAAAACCATTACAAATCAAACAGTGACTCACTATCGCCTCTCGGGAAACAAGTGGTATTACAAGACAAGATGGGCCGTGGCTAGCTGGTTAGCATACTAACTTCAGTAGATATCTCTGCAACACAATACATAGACGTCTTTGACATGATGTCAGAACTGTTCACATTCTGTTGATTTATTTAATGTTTAAAACTAAAATTGTTTTTTCTTACACATTGCACCTTTAAGGTTAGGGGACCTTCGTCGTCATGGTTGCAATAGTAACCACTTGATTATGGTTGGGGAATTATAGGGGCCATGATTAAAAGAAAGCCACGTTGACTGTTGGTAGGAAACGGGAAGTCAAAGTCCCACTTTGTCGAACCCCTCCATGCGCCCTGACCTCTTCCTTATGCAGACTTTACTTTGCACCTAATGGACAGGAGTCATACTTACTACAGTTGCAAGAGGGCTTTGCCACTTGAATGTAAACATTTGTGGTTTTGGGGCATTTACTGAAATGTCTGAGGCTGTTTTTTCTTGGGTCTCCTGAGACCACCCAGAGGGCCAAGCGTGTAGTCACACACATGGACTTCCTTGTTCACTGGGTGCCATATGCCAATGTTGCAAGGTACCAGCTGTTTCTGACACTGCTTTGCCTCTCTGCGAAAGAGCTCAGCTCGCTACAATCCTCGGATCTACACCTGCGTGAAGTAGTTTCGCCACTGTGTGACGACCTCGCTGTGATGTGGAGGAAGCATTATCTGTGTCCTCCAGCCTCCAGTGTGCCCTCCATCAAACGGACTCAAAACACCTGCCTTCATATTTAAAGCAATGCCTTCATTTATGAGAGTTACAAAAATTAAAGCACACTTCTTTTGCAGACTCAATACGGATATAACAATGACTTTCCCCATTGTTATTTTTGGGTAAGAAAAACTGAATGTCTACAATTTGTAACATATTCCAAAGGAAGATTTGAATAAAAACACTGACCACAAGGTCTGGATAGTATCTCCATTTTGAAATAACCATGACTGAACGACAGCACACAAAGTTTGAAATGAATCATTCAACAGTGCAACAGGCAAAGACGACATTTCCGCATGCATTTCTTAGGACAGTATAACTATTTTATTGGCTCAGTCTGAGGCAGCTTCCAGAGTGCCATTTTTTCCCTTAAAAGTGAATGAGTCACTCTTAAAACTGCATTATTCTTACCATGAGGTGTACTGTAATTTGCCTTTGATCAGGAGCACTGTATGCATGAAAAAAAAGCAAACACTTGAATATGCACACCACACGCAGCACAAGTCGGGGATTTGCTTCTTTACCCGTTAGACAGCAATACATGCACACATTTCACCAGAGGAGGGAAGCCAGGAGGAACGACACCTATGAGGCAGGCAAAAGTTCAGTGTCTTGACAGCTCTAAAGTAGTGGCTACAGCGGTCATTGTGGGGACATAAAACCTCGATCGAGACCACCATCAAGTCATGAGTCACTTCTACTGGATGCAACTTTCCTCTAAGTGTTTCCATTGGACAAAGTCAGATTTATTTTACCACTTGCCAAGCATTGTCGCATCTGTATGGTAGCAACACCTGTACACTACCTGATTATAGTTACCGTATTAAACAGCCCCTTTTCACTGACATTTTTACATGTCACAGTGGGAAGAGCACTTGGTTTGAGGGTCCTGTGGTGGGCATGCTGGCTCATTCTCATAGGTTATTTGGGAGTTTAAGTAGGACAGAGCCATCATTTAAAGTAATACCAGTGGTTTTCCCATTATGACAATTCAAAATGCAGTGAAAAAGGGCAAGAAGCTATAGGCGCAACATTGATATAAAAGGACATGAGTAACATTACCATTAATTTGAAGTTGTATTTCTGGCGACTTGATGAATGTTCATTAGTCACTCTTCTTTTGGCCTCCACGGGGTATATATATGTGTCTTTTAGCAAAATGCTTTTCTGTGTACACCTGCTAGATGCTAAATCTGTCTGTCTGCTGTTTGGTGCTGGCCAGGTGTTGTAGCTGGTTCATCAAGTCTTTTTCACTAAAAACAGCTGCCTGCTGCACCTATAAATGGTATTGATGAGACCGGTGACAATGAACTAAAACAATAAAGTCGTGTGCTATAAGCAAAAAAACAATGAGCTAAAAGAGGCTAAACCATGTCTGTAGTCCAGCGGTGAACTGCAAAGTTGGTAAATAATGCTCTGGTTTTGTGACACCATTACAAGTAGTCCTTCGACCCCCCCAGTGTAAAATAAAAGCACTAATGTCTACAGCCAAGCTGGTGGCTCTGTAAAGCTGCACAGAGTTACAAAGCTGCTTTGAGCTAAAAGCTAACATAGTGATGTTAGCAGTGGTGTTCATATGTTGATATTCAACAGGCATAACCACATTCAAATTTTGCGTGTTAGCAAGCCAACATTTTCTAATTAGCACTAATACAAAGTTGGCCTACAGCTGAGGCTGATGGGAATGTCATGAGTTGAATTATTATGACTCATTTTTAGAGGAACATGAATGGTTGTACCAAATGTCATTGCAAGCCATCCAGTAGTGAGATAACTGCATTTGAAGCAAAAAATATGAAGCCACTGGCAGCGCAAAAGCATAAATAAAATTCATCATCAGAGTAGCCTAATCTTTTCCCAATAGCTGTTAATATTTCACTCATAACAATAATGACAACCTTATGGTAGAAATAAATGAGGGGATCACCAAAGTCAGTAGGCTGGATGTCACAATTACTTGGTAATCCATCCAGTAGTTGAGACATTTCAGTCTGAACCAAAGATGGTGGACAGAGGTGTGAATCGAATGATAAAAAAAATGCTCTGATGAGAGTATTAGGTAAAATGTCTCTTATTTGTTTAAACTGTGGAGATTTGAATCAAGCACAATACGACAAGCTGTTAGGGGAAATTAAACAATCAGTTATTTGTGGATTTTTGAAAGGTATGCCAAAGATATTCTATCAAGTTTACATTGGGATTAAATAAAAGATTTGGATGGCTCCAACTAAAGCAAGAAAAGGCACAATTTAATTAAAAATGACTGACTTTAATCTTATGAGACACAGTGTATTTGGATTTCTGGAACAGGTGCTGATGGATTAGTGTGACAACTGCAAGAGGTTGCAGCCATTTTTCTTCTTAATAAAACCATCCACCACAATAGCCTCAAGCGCCATGTACATGCACCATATCCTACTGAGTGCTGTTTCTGTAACCATGATAAGAAAAACACACACTGCATGAAATGCCCTTTGAACAGCCACAACACATTCCTCCACCACACCCCTCTCTCCCTGAGAAGGCCGATTTCCATGCACTGCCGAGCATGAGACAGAAACAGCATTAGGACAAAGAATGACAGCAGCATGGATGCCCAGCAGTGGGAACTACAACAGCCTTGTTATAAAGGATGCTGAGCTTCCTGTGAGAAAAGTAACTCCAACATTTAGACGCTTTCTCCCTCTCTTTAGTGAACGCTTCTTGAAATCTAAAAATAACCCTGCACTTGTTTTCTTTTCATTTACTTTCCTCCCTCAGCCTTGTTTACGCGACTACAACTCTTGTCTGCTCCAGTCAGTTTGAGGAAAGAGCCTGTTGAATCGGTGTTTCCATGGCAACGGGGGGGCAGAGGGTCTCCAAGGTCTGAGCAAGAGCACCTGGAGCCAAGCTGATGGTAGAATGGAGGTATGACCCGGCGGGCTGTTGCCGCGCTGGGCTGTAGTCGTGTTATTTCATTACCGTCCCTTCCTCCTGCCTGGCACTGACATGATAAATTGTCACCAGACACGGGTTGTTAATCATTTCTGGGGTCACACAAGCAATAAAACATGGAGCTCTGTTCTTGCATTTGATGATGGGAAGGAGTGGAGTATGTCCTGATAAAGAGGGAGAGAGAGATTTAAAGAGAGGGGAGGAGAGTGTTTCGCTGCTGGAAAGTGGATTGCATCCATTATTTAGGAGCTGCTTCCCCCTTCACTGTGAGAGAGGAGCGAGAACAGAAAAGTGTTTGCAGGATACAAACATCTCCTCTATGTCTCTTTGTCCTGAAAAAGACCCCTTTCTCACATGAGTAAAAAATGGACTTAGTTAAATACTATAAAATTAAAATTATATATAATTATGGGTATTAATTTACAATTTTAAATTTTGTAATCAATAATCTCAAATGAGGCATGTGTGAGAACGCATGTGTTACATACTAGCGCATGCAGCAAGATCCATTAAAGTAGTCATGTAAAAACACTTTCAGATCATTGGATCAAAAGGAGTAAAATGCATTGAGGCCCTGTTGAATTGCAGAGAAACTGGGCCAAAAAAAGCTCTGACACGTTTGATCATGACGCTTCATCTCTGCTTCCCATTTCGTCTTATGAGCTGCAGATTGTGTCTACAGGGTAATCTTGAATGCACTTTTGAACATATGGTATTAAGTAACTTGGCATGTGCTACAGTAACTGGAAGAAACTTCATGATGTAAGCTCAGAAAATCTTTACAGTTATCCTCCCCCTCCCCCCGACCAACAAATCTTTCGGCAGATACAGGCAGAGGAGGAAGGGAAGGTGCTGAGGACAACAGGAGAAATAGGGCACAGAAACGGCACAAAGTAAGTAGTGAGAGGAGGAGTGGAGGAACATTTTTTAAGACTGTTCTATCCAGGCTTTGAAGTTGTGAAAGGATGGAAGCTCTTTACTTTACTTTTCTTCAAAGACTTCATTTCCACACACACACACACACACACACTTTTGGGAGGCCTGGGATAACAATGTCAGCCTCCTCACTCTTTTGTCTTTGGTTTGCCCAAATAATGAGAGCTCTGTACTCTACAGAGTCCTACGATACAATTTCTACCTGCCACCCAATATCTGCCTCACTATGACACTTACACTACATCTTTCTATTGTTAAACCAGGAACTTCAATGACTCAAAACGATTCCAACGTCTGTAATAACCAAAGAAACTGAACCGTAACAACCACATTCTTGTTCATTTGTTGAATATATTATTTTATTTTAACATCATCATCATCATCATCATCATAGTTTAACTTTTAATTTTCCCTTCATTCATTTAAAATGATCACCTCTGAATGTACACATACTGCAAACTGTCAAAAATATACAAACAAATGCAGGCTTGTGCTATAGTCTGGTCAAATGTCTAAAAAACAGTGGCACTGGGGGAGAGAAAGAGAGAGAGAAAGAAAGAGAGCGAGCAAGAGAATAAAGGCAGGAGAGAGAGAGAGAGAGAGAGAGAGAGAGAGAGAGAGAGAGAGAGAGAGAGAGAGAGAGAAACATTGAATCCGGTAAAGACATGCACAGCATCATCGTGAGCACCGGTGATCCAGGTGCTCGGTACTTCCATGGGATCCTCGTGGAAAAGTACATACATTTCATCATCTGACAGTGCGGCACAAAATGCCAGTCACATATCAAATCAAAAACAAAATGTCGCTCATTAATGGAACTGTTAGGCACATCATTGTTTTTTGGTTTTACATTTTCTGGAAAAGTCTGAGTTACTGTAAATGTAGAATGCTTAACCAAAAACAAGAAGAAGAAAAAAAGAAACATACAATAAAAAACAAACAAAAAAAAAACACTTAAAAGTCGTTTTGGAATCAATGTCTTGTTAGTAACTCAACATTGTTAAGTGTGTGTGTATGCGTGTATGTTTTATGTCTAGTGTGTGTATCTCTGTGTATCTAACTGGGTGCATTTCTGTAGAACCAAGTGGTAATGGGAGTGAGTACTTGAGGTGTTTTGTGGATAGAGGCTGTGATTGGCTGTCAGCCGTCCAGTCAGATGCTCAGGTCTTTGGGGTTATCCTTGTAGGTCTTCTTGGGCTCAGGAGCGTTGGCTTGGATGAGCGACTGGTGTCGGTCTTGAGCGCCCTGAAGTACTCTCTCACCTTAGCCTCTACCAAATAGTCATCGTCCTCTTCGTCCTCCGAGTCATCCCTTCTGGAGCTCCTGACTGGGGAAATATCTCGTCCAAGGCTGCGTGTCGGTACTGTGGCTCGGGGGTACTACCTCGACTGGCGTAGCGCCCATCCCTCACCGTCCTCTCAGGTGAGCGCCCCCTCAACAACGAGCTGTACTTCTTATAGGCTGAATCGGAGTCAGGGGTGCGCACTCTGGGCAAGGTGATGTCTCTGTAGGCGTCTCTCTGGTTGCGGGATGCCAGGTCACTCAGCAGGCCGTTCCCCCTGTAGGCTGTCTCCATGGTGTAGGCTTTCATCAGCAGACTGTCCTCCCCATGCAGGCGCTCCTCCCTGTGCAGCGTTGAAAATGTGGCCTCCCTGTTCAGGCGGTCCAGGGCTGGGGGCTCACGGAGGATGCTGTCCTCAGAAGGGAGGCTGAGTTCAGGAGTCTTGGGTGGCTCCTTCAATACGGCCTCATCCCCGTTGGGCTTCTCCATGCTGCGGGTCTGTCTCTCTGGGGAGGTGTACCGGCGGTAGGGGTCTGATGAGTGGGCGTGACGTCTGGTGGGGGAGTGGTACCGAGAGCGATGGGGGGACCTGTGGCGGTGAGGCGAGCGGTGAGGCGAACGGTGGCGTGAGCGGTAAGGAGAGCGGTAGGGCGAGCGGTGGCGGTTATGAGAGGAGGAGTGTTGACCGTGGTGTCTCTCAGGTGAGCGGCCGTGACGGTGTTGTCTGTGATGGCCATCCAGGGTGTTTTCTGCACTGCGTGACCGGCCGTGCCCCTTGTCAGGCGAACGGTGGCGGCGGCGGCGGTGCCCGCTAGAATGGTGACGGTGGCCGTCACTTCCCTTGCCATCCTTGGACTTGTCCGTCCCTGTGGACTTTCTCCCCTTGTGTTTTCTCTTATTGGGAGAGCGGTGGCGGTGGTTGGAATGATGGTGCTTGCCGGTGCCGGTAGAGTGGCGGGTCGGCTCCTTCTTGCTCCGGGATGATTGTTGGGGTTCTGGTGGGTAGCTTGACTCCAATGGCGCGTTGGTTGAGGGCATGGCGCTCACTTCCGCAGCGTTTTGTAACCCTGAGGCTGGGT